TCAAGAGAATGTCAGGTATGAATTTAATAGGGAGTGTGACCTGCAACACTTCTGGAAACCCACCAAATTACTAACAGTGCTCACATGCACTCTATGCAAAAAAAAAAATAATAAAATCCACGCAAAAAAACCAAACCACAACAAAAACTCAATAAAAAAAAAAAAAAAAAAAAAAAAAATCAACGCAAAAAACTAAACCACAATAAAAACTCAAAACCACAACCAACAATAAATAGTCATGGGCTTCCGCAAGAATTTGAAGTTCAGGTTTAGAGTAGAAAACGACAGATTGGGCTAGGACGTTTTGTAGAAACAAAAAGACCAAAGAACATAAACAAAGATGACCGTAACAGTGAACTTGAGGAACTGAAAAGAGTGACCAGTACCTCCAGGCTCAAAACCACAACCAACAATAAATAGTCATAGGCTTCAGCAAGAATTTGAAGTTGACAGATTGGGCTAGGATGTTTTGTAGAAACAAAAAGACCAAAGAACATAAACAAAGATGACCGTAACAGTGAACTTGAGGAACTGAAAAGAGTGACCAGTACCTCCAGGTACAGGAAAACAGTGCCACAGATGCAGCTGGAAAAAAATTCTCAATTAGACAATGTGGACACAAAAGAGAAACGGAATAGAGTAGCGAGTACTAGACCTGAGCATTAATTAGTTGTAATTAAAAAAACTAACCACAAACAAACAAAAAAACAACTGTAAGAATGAAAGTTAAAGTATTAAGTTCTCATGAAAACAGCTGCAGGTTGAGTGAACCGCAGCATATAATAAATATGCAAAGATCAGCAACATGTGTGTGACGGAATAGAGTAGCGAGTACTAGACCTGAGCATTAATTAGTTGTAATTAAAAAAACTAACCACAAACAAACAAAAAAACAACTGTAAGAATGAAAGTTAAAGTATTAAGTTCTCATGAAAACAGCTGCAGGTTGAGTGAACCGCAGCATATAATAAATATGCAAAGATCAGCAACATGTGTGTGGATGAGATGAATTAACTAAGCCGCTATGTAATTTGTTGGTTAAGGGACGAATTAAGAAGCAATTTACAAAACACAGCTGACAATTAATTAAAACGCGAGTAACAGGCACAGCCCTAATCGACCGAGGGGATTAATTGCAGTAGGCGGGCAGTCAGAGGGCTGCCTGCCGAAGCGGGGGAGGACGTATCGACCGAGGGGATTAATTGCAGTAGGCGGCCAGTCAGAGGGCTGCTCTACCGACGCGGGGGAGGACGCGGGGCCAAGAGCAGGAGGCCGAGATGCGCCAGGCGAGACACAGAGGGACCCGACAGCCGGGAGGAAACACCGGCGACGTTCCCGCCGCCACCCAGCCCCGCAGGTGACAGGGACCCGCTCTGCCTCCCGCTGCTCCCCCTCGGCCTGGCGGGAAGGGGAACAAGGGGCTCGGCCTCTCTGGCGAAGGGGACAGAGCAGGGAAGGGGACGGACATCCCGGCAGGGCCCCCGGCGGCCTCCCGGCTCCACGTAGGCAGCTGGCGGGCTGCGGGGGGCCCGCTCGCTACCTTCCAGGCCTGGTTCTGCCGTAGATCCTGGAAGTCCTGCCCGTAAATGGACTCCAGCACCTGGAGCTCGTTCTCCTGCCGTAGCTGGTAGCTCTCCGGTGGCTCGGCGGCCGCCTCCGCCGGCAGCTGCTGCGCGGCGCTCGCCCGGGCCATGTCAGCTCCCCGGGCGGGGGC